AGTAATGTTTAAATACAACATAGTACGGAGTATATGATTTTCAAAGTTAATAAACTTCTGATCTTCAAAAGTGAAAAAAGAAATTCTAAATGCTAACAAAGACTTCTTTGGATTCCTTTGTTCAACACTTTTCGTGGGAAATATAATATCTCATCATACTCCGTTTTTTTTAATACCACAATCAACTTTTGATTATCTTCTTAATTATAATACATTATAATGAATAAAATGTTGCTAACCCCCTCTTTCTACTCCATCCTAATTGTAGAAGACATTGAAATACATACAAATGAACGAATGAATAAAAAAATTACTAATAGCTAATGGTGACATAGCATGATAAGGCGGTCTTAATAAATCAAAATTGTTATATCTACTCCATATATAATAGGAGGGGAAGTGTCTACTATTTTTTTTTATGTAATCAACTGCAATGCACTTCTCTGGTTTTTTTTTGTTTTGTTTTGTTTTTTTTTTTGTTTTTTCACCATCTAGAGATGTTAGAAGTAGTTACGTAGTAAAAGAGAGGACTTTCAAATTCGGATTTTCTTTCTCATCTCATAATAATAAAATAAAATCACTCTACATAATCACTCTACATAATTGCAATACTTTGGGGAGGAGCATTTTCCCGCTCAAGCATCAGGCTACATCAATCGTTCGATTAATCATTTTAGATCTACGGCTTTCTTTTCTTCCTGTTTCCTAAATCACTTTCCATCGGAAATCCCCTGAGCATCCCTTCTCTCCATCCCTGATACATACCAAATCACTCTTCTCATCTCTCTCCCTCGCAGAAACCAAATGACTTTCTTTTCGATGGAAAGAGACACTCTTCATCTTCTCAACTCCATCTCTGGCGGTGCCGATTGCCGAAGCATCTTCACAAGCTCCATCTCTGGTGGTGCCGATTCGAGCCTCCGAGCGACACCAGGATAAGGTACTGTTCGCCGGGATGATTAATTATATTCAATTAACTGAAAAAAGGCTTTGATTTCACCCGAGCCTCTGACCTCCATCTCTGGCGTGAGTATGACATGAGCAGCCATGCGATGATCAAAGTTTTTGGGATGGGACGACAGGGGCAACCATTCCTTCTCTTCACAACCACTTATCCTTCCTCACTCAGGTCAACTCTCTGTTCTTTGTTGTTGTTTACTTAATGTTTCACATAAATAATTGTTTTTTCTTTTATGAATAAATGATTTTATGGTATATGTACTCTCTATATTCTGCATATGCCATGTTTGATAAAATGCTTAGTGAATTTTATGCATATGCCATGTGGAGTTATTGATGGAGTCCCGGTTCTTTTATGTATGAATGATTTTATGGTATATGTACTCTCTATACTCTGCATATGCCATGTTTGATAAAATGTTTAGTGATCTTTCTTTGTTTTTTTAATAGCATTGTAGAAGCGATTTGTTTTAACTTTAAATTTGGACAATGTAAATATGTATGTAGTAATACTGAACTTTGTTTCTTTTAGGCTTTCTGCCTAGCTAGAAAGAGATGCAAGTGCTTTCAAGCATTAATCTATTTGTTCGTACTACAGATGTTTTGACTTTAACTCAACAATGGGTTTTTACTTAACCTAAGCTCACTTGATCTTACTTGGTTTAATCAAGATGATTTTAGCTTAATGTAGCCTATGTTATATCTTTATGACCTCAACTCAGTTCTGAATGCTATCCAAATAGAAAGAGTAGAAAGGTAGAAAAGTCATCAATCCTTTTAAGAGCAGCAGTGTATATGATATCATTGTAAGTTATACTTCCTCCTAATATCTTCAGGAGTGTTGTTCTCCCACTACCACAGGGTCTCACCAGAGCAAAAATTTTCCTAGGCCCAATGCTCCATGTGATGCCTTTCAGTATTTGCTTAAAATCCAGAGAAGTAGCAGTTTGAGCCAGGGTCCTTCAACAAAACAAGATATTTATTTTGGGACAGAGAGAGTTTTTTTATATTCTGAAATTGTTATAAGGTTTGTCTTCCAAATAAAAAGGTTTGTCAAATCATTGAAGATGATTTTCTGATATTTGAGCAATGAGGGATGGTTGTGTATGATTTTTCAGCAATGAAAGATGTTTGCCAGAAGTTGGAATAGGTGCTGATTCTAATGCCTCCATCTATATGCAATGAGGGATGGTTGTGCATGTTTTTTTCTCTCGACTGTCGAAATTTAGTTATATGAACTACTGAATACTGTTTACTACCATAAAGTATAAACAATTTATTCGCTATGCTATTAATTTCATCTCAATTCAGGTTTACGGCGTCTCAGTAGAAATACTGAGTTATATAGGTTGAGCTTGATGGAAAATTAAGGTAATTCTCACTCTGACTTATGTTATTCTTAATTTACATCTATACCAGCAATTGTTACTTTGTTCAGATTAATGTTTGCGTGTCTAGGCTTTTTAAACTATCAGATTTTCCTGTTAATTTCTTGATGAAGAAAGTCAAAAACATATACATCATATGTGTGTGTGTGTTTGAAATATCTTCTTTTTTCAAAATTCAATACCACTAAATTAGTTTTAAAGCAGAGCAGTAGTTTATTTCCTACGCATTATTTGTTCTTTCTCTACCAACTACCGTTAATTATTCTACCTTTAAGTTAGATGTGTTTGAAATTGTTGTTCTTCATACATTTGATTTTATTAATATAAATCGAAATCTTTTTAACCCATTTACTTATCATTTTATGATTTGAAATTGTCATTTAATATACCGGGTTGCTTGGTAACATAGCTTTGGCACGTTTGCAACTGACCTACTCTTTATCGTTCTGCACATATGAACTCTTAATTTCAATAGTACGAATTTTTTACTATACTAATTTTTCAGTCTGTCGCAGTTACCCATGTTCTGTCATCTCACGAAATAAAAATCTATAAAATCATCTTATTAAGCACATGTCATAAATGATTTAAATTCACTAATCTATAATGCTATCTCATTTTGTTTTCGAGATATTTTTCTGGGAGATTGAAATAACTCGGGACCCTTTGCTTGGCCAGCGGATAGTGGCAAATCATGTTACATCGGAGACCATGATAGCGTATATTTTGAAAGTGAAAACTCGGAGGGATTGAAAATAGTCCATCACGCTGTTGCTAACTTGCTAACATGGAACTAGACTAGTGGTGGACTGAACCGGGCCGGTTCGGGCCTCGGGCCTAGGCCCGTCCGGGCCTCGGTTCAGTAATAGCAGGCCCGAGCCCGAACCGGGGTAGGGCGGTCCCGGGTCCGGTTCCGGGCCGGACCGGGCCGGGCCGGTCGGGCCACCCGGTTTAATTTTTTTTTTTTTCCTTTCTCCCCCCCACCCCCACCCCCACCCCCAACCCCCCCCCCCCCCCAAACCGGCCTAAACAGGTAGCCCAAGCCCAACAGCCCAAAAAAAATGAAAAAAACTAAAAAAAAAATAGATTTGGCCCGGAACCGGGCCCGAACCGGCCGGGCCGTCAAACCCATGAACCGAGCCCGGAACCGCCCCACCCCCGGGCCTCCAGCCCGAACCGGACCCGGAAAACCGGGCCGGGCCGGGCCGGGCCCGCACAGTGGCGGGTCGGGCCGGTCCCGGGCCGGGCGGCCCGAACCGAGGCCATGCCTAAACTAGACTAAACATTTTGAATGCTTATTACTACGTATATACGGAGTACTATGTAAGTGCTAAAAGGTGTGCTATACCCTACTGATATTGGGTGTGATGTAAGAAATGCATATATGAATTGGATGTCCTTAGCATAGGGTGATTTCCATCATTTGTAATGGAACCAATGATTCATTAGTTTTTTGGTTTGGGAAAATAATGGAATAAAGCAAAATGGTTTACTAAACTGTTTGCGTTTTTTATTTATTACGGAGTATGAAACATTAGTCAGTCTATGCGATTTTTGACGCGCTTTTCACCTTGGATCATCCGGAAACAGTCATTCTGTGTTTTAGTATAGGAGTAAGGTTGCGTACTTGCGTACATCCGACCCCGTTTTACCCCACCGTAGGTGGGAGCCTTTGCGGCATTGGGGTAATGATGATTATGATGATCATGATGTTCTTAGCATAGGGTGGATACAGACATACATTCCTCAGACCTAACCAGAGCCGGCCGGTTTTCGAACTTGAAAAACAATCGGAAATTTAGGTTTTGGGCCAGAAAGAGACCAGGCATGTGAGGAAAGAGAACCCATTGCTGAGCCTCAATTTTCCGGTTTCAGTTTCACTTTTTGCATTAAAAATCATAGGAAAATATTTATAATTGGAGGTCCATTTAAAAGCTGGGGAGTGGAGAGGTATGCCGCCGACGCCACCATAATTGTCATGCTCATGGCCATCTTTGTCACTCAACCAATAACTGTTCATATTTTTAATAATTAATTAATTTTATTGATTTAATGAATTATTTTTTTCAATTCTATATTCTCAATTTCATTATTCCATAATTCAACCAACGATTAATATTAATACTTTTTGGTATTGTTTAAATATTTTTATTTACAATCGGCTAAAATAAAACTTCGGTCATTGTTGTGTGTGTGGTCAGTGACAAATACAGAAAAAATTATTATTGGGGGACTGCTAGCATATATGTACTGGCGGAGTTAATTCAATACCAGGTTATTCACGTGTACACCCATACATCAGCTTGACTCCATCTGATCTAAAATTATCGTTCACATTTTAGCATAGGCATTTCCATTTGATGCTTAATTACTCGATGACTTTCAACACACATCAGAGGGTTTGTGTTTTCTTACTTGATCGGTTTTCACCCATGGTCAACTTTACGTCGCGGTCTCAAAAGTAACGTCCCTGTTTAGATTAAAGATTATTATATGTGATGATGATGAAAAATCGATAGGACTTTAGTTTTTTTTACAAAGAAGTACTCCGTATATAGTAATTTGTAATTTTTTAATCTTCATTTACGTATGATTATTAATCTTCACTCTTCATTCACTTTTGTTAAAAATAATACGTAGTATATTCGTTTGTTCTATCTATATCACAATATTTCTATATATTAGAAACATTTTTTGCTTACTGACTGCATCCCGTGCGAAGCACGGGTGAAAAATCTAGTATCTGAAATGCGGAGTTTTAAAAGTACAAATTGTCTAAACAAAACTATACAGAGCAAATCTTTACGACAACATTCAGCATGTTTTGTAGCATTTTTAATTCGCATTAATTAAATGTCATGACTTCGCATGCGGCGGCGCGTCTCCACTACGCCACTATCTTGTTCGGGTTACGACCGGAAACAGCAAACGTCCGTTAGCGGCGGCATCGAAGCCAACGGAGCGGCACTTGATGGCTAAACTACGCCCTAAATGGTCCATGGAGGTCCTCTCCGGTGCAAAATTCGTCGTTCGCCGGTAGGATCCGAGCCACTTGTTCATCATAAAGCGCCGCTTTCTCCACGGCGGGAGATGCAGGCCTCTGCTTTTCAACGATCGCCTCGCCGCCTCACTCAACAATCGCAGGATTATCCTCAGATCCTCGCATTTTCCGACGAAAACTTTCGGCAATGACCGAACCAGAAGCTCGAATCGATCCGTCGGCCGAGCTATCTCGAACTCGGAGGAGAATTCGAGGTCGACGATGTACCGATTGGAGTCGGATCGGAGAACGTCTATGAATTCGTGGTCTCCGGCGGTGATTCCGTCGCTGCTCGCCCATTTGGTAGTGCAAACGGCCGCATTGTAACCGACATCCCTCAAATAAGCGGCGACGCGTCGCCGGAGAGTCAACTTACTAGAATTCGTCAAACGTGAAAACAATTCAACGGCCTCTGTCACGTGAGACGCCAGGATATTGCGAAAAGCGTCCGCGCCGCCGCGAATAAGTATAGGCTCAATTTCATCCTCAACCGCGTCGCCGGGACTGCAAATTTGAACGCCGGTCACGCAATCGGGATCATTATCCGACGGCGGATCTTCTCCGGCTTCATTCTCCGAATGGCTGAAAACAATTTCAGAAAAACTTGAAAGGGAAACGTCGTCGTCTTCATCTACTTGAGCACTGCGGTCACTTCCGCTGCTTATGCAACCGTGTTCATCAAGGTCAAGCCCGACGATTCGAGCCTTAACCCGATCGTCAAACTGGTTAGTAACTTTCTTCCTTCTACCATAACCAAACATTATTGCAACTAGTTATTATTTGCTGGATATACGAAGAAGAAGAAGAGGAGGAACTGGAGCTTTTAAGCGCCAGAAACAATGGGATTTCGGCTAGAATATTCCTTCTTCTCAAATACGTTTTTTTTTTGATAATATTTTTTTGGAAAAGTTTTTTTTTATCCCGATAATTTAGAAATAGGAATAATGTTAAGGAAATTTCTACGGTACCTCTTTAAATATTAAAGGTACCGGTACCTTCATATTTGCAGCCAATCAAATTCTACTGTAAAGCCACGTCATTTGCATAGCATTATACGAGTAGTCCACATTCCACAATAAATAAGTGAAATATTAATTTGTTAACCGTTCTAGACTACGTCACTCCGTCAATTGTTACCGTTCTAGAGTCTAGACTCCCAACCTCCTTTCCTTTCTAAGGCCAAGTCAAACGATGACAAAATTATAGAAACATCAGCGAATCAAACCAGGATACAAGATCGATCAAAACTATATATAGAATCGAACATTATATTCGGGCATTCAGTTTGTGAACAAGGCGGCGGCCGGCAGGGAAAGGTTGGCCAACATATATATTTAGTAATTGAACTATTGAATGATGCCCGTTTCTTATTGATACCAGAAATCTTCATTCGGGAAGGCAGCTTAGTGTCAATGAGTTTCGGAATTTGAAGCCCTTGAGATTGGAGGAAGGAGTCAAGGAGAAGAGGTTGCAGTTGCTTGGCTTGTTAGGTAACTTACGGGAGTGACGGAGTCTCAGGCAGTTAGCAACATTTGAGTATTCCACTTCATTATTAGGGATTAAAATGCAAATAAGAAACTTCATATACTAATATGATTCGATGTTAACGTGGCATCACATCAGAAATTGATTGGCTAAAAAATTTAAGGTACCAGTACACCATTTATTTTAGAAGGCACCGTAGAAGAGCCCTAATGTTAACCCTCTTTTGATAATTTTTTAGTTAGAACCCCATTAAAACAGAAGGATATGGATATACTGGTTTGTTGGTGTAAGATCCCGTTGACAGTAGGAGGGGAAGGAGGTATATCCGCATATGCCCGCGTTTATCCTTGTCGAATTCAGGCCATTTGTACAGTACCTGGCGCACAGCGAATAATGATATTCCGCGTACACACCTTTGGAACGTACTTTGGATAGCACAAAAAATTTAGTTTGGATAAAGCACTTTTGGATATTCTTCTTCTTAAAGATTCTGTTTTTTCAATAATTTTCAAATAGAAATAATGTTATCCTTTTTTGATACGACATTTCTTGGGGAAAATAATTAAAATAACCTAAACTTTGAAGGAATGTGATATTAACACCTCATATTTGCATATGTAATTTAAACACCTCAAACTTTATATAAAAAGTTATTTTAACATCATAGTCAACTATAATTTCTTTCAAAAATGTAAAATTTATGATGTTAATTGCATAATTTAAAATATTTTAGAATTCACGAGGACACAATTAACATTTTAAGCTTGCATTAGGAAATAAATAATGTTACCCTCAATCTATATAATTGCAACACTTTTAATTTTTTATTTTAAATTATGCAATTAACCCCATAAATTAATTTTTTTTGAAAGAAATAATACATGATAATGGTGCAAAAATAACCTTTTATTTAAAGTTTAGGGTATTTAATTTTATATGGAAGTTTGAGGTGTTTACCTCACACCCCTTCAAAGTTTGAGGTATTTTTATTATTTTTCTCGAGTATTTAAATTACATATGTAACCTTTTAGTGAGTATTATAATAGGAAATATTTAGATTTAGACCTCATTTAGTTACCCCAATTCTCGGCTGATCAGCTTTAGTTTTATAAAATACATCACTTTTATTTTATGCGTTGAATTATGTAATAATTAAAATAAATAAGATTGTAATTGTTTTTGTTTCTAAATTGATTGAAGTTACCCGATAGCGCAATTTTTAGTTATTTATAATTTTTTCCCTTATTATTAGGGATTTTTTTTTGCAATTCAGCATATTCTGTCGTTTCAATCAAAATTTAGTAGATTCAATCGATTAATTATATGATTAATTAAGAGTCGGAGAGCTACCAAAAAAGCTCTTAGTAGGCCTGGACTCGGGCCGGGTGGCCCGACCCGGAACTATTCCGGCCCGGCCCGGCCCAGTGGCCTGCTGGCCCGATCAGTGAGCGGTCCGGGTAGGCCCGACCTGCGGGGAATCCGGTCCGGGCTCGGGTCCTTCAAATGGCGAACCGGCCCGGCCGGGCCCGGTCCGGGCCGCCAACGGCTACTTTTTTAATTTCTTTTTGTTTTCTTTTTAATAATTTAAAGGGCTCCTAGCCGTTGGGAATAATCCCAAACGGCTCTATAGCCGTTGGAGGGCTAGGAGGGGGGTCCGGGGGGTTTTTGGGGGTGGGGATATTAAAAAAACCTATTTATACTCCTATTTTCTATACATTTTTTATACCGTCTTGAATTCATCATACAATCCTACTCCTACTCTCTAATTTTCTATTCTCTCATACTCAATCATCTCCATCTTCTCCAAATCTCTACACACACACACACACACACACACACACACATATATTATATCAACTTATATATTAATTATCTACTTATGTACATATATTATATTACTAATATTTATTATCTACTTAATATATTTATTATCTACTTATACATCTCCATCTTATTAATATTTACTTTGATATCTACTTATTATCTATATTTATTGTTATTTACTTATATATATTAAAGTATTAGATATAAGTGTATTACTCATCTTATAGTAATATACTTATATATTATATACTATAAACATTATATTATATATTAGTTATACAATTATATTAGTTACACTTGAATTCATAGTAATTAAATTCACCGTATTAGTTAATTTTTACATTTCTCATTATCCTAATTTAGTTAATTAATACTTGTCTCGTTTTTTCTAATACTTACATTTTTTTTAATTGTTACATTTTTCATTAAAGTATAAAACTAGTTAATTGTTACATTTTTTATTTCCCTATTAGTTAATTTGTTAATTGTTGCATTTATCATAAAAGTATAAAACTAGTTAATTATTACATTTTTCATTTCTCTATGTGTGCAAGATGGTCTAAAAGCGTTAGAAGATGCTATGGAGGTAGTCAAGGGGGGGATTAGACGTATTTAGGGTAATGGTCAACTTAAATTAAAAATGGAAAAATTATTTGATTGAAAGATGTGTGAAATATGTTGCTTTTCTTAAAGATTTGTCTATTCGCTGGAATAGTACTTATAAATTGATTAAAGTTCTTCTTAGATATAAAGAACATTTTCCTGCTTTTTTAAAACAATATGATAACTATATTTTAAACTCCGCTCACATCGACACTTGCAAAAAAATTTGTAATGTTTTGATATTTTTTTAATAATGCAACTGAAAGTTTTAGTCATGTTTATAAACCTACCTCAAACGAATTTATTCGTGAAGTTGTTAATCTCGCCGGTGCTTTTATTGAATTTGAGAATGCCGCTTACGTGAGTTATTTTTGTGGTTTTATGAAGGAAAAGTTTTTAAAATATTATGCACATATTCCGCATATTTATGGTATTGCATTTATTCTCGATCCTCGTTTTAGACTTGGTAATTTGGAAGAATGTTTGACGTTCTTTTATCATGCTTTTTTTTGGTCCATTTCCAATGTATGACGATAATGTCATAGATCCGCAAGTTGAATACAACGAGGTTAGTAATTTATTTTATGCCTTATTTAATGAGTTTCATGCACAATATGGCAACACGCCCCCTCCCCCGACACAAACATCTTCATCTAAAGGAAAATCACTTTTTAAATTTGCTTTTGGCAATCTTATGAAAAAACCTAAAACAACTCACACTACTGAACAAAGCGCACTTAATGAGATTTCTTTGTATTTAAATTATGAGGTAGAATTTGACGAAAATGATGACTTTGACGAAAAGTGGTGGAAGTGAAAAGAAAGAATGTTCCCGATTTTGGCACGGATGGCTAAGCAAGTGCTATCAATGCCGGTTTCAACAGTTGCCGTGGAACAAGAATTTATTTCGGCCGGCAACGTTCTAACGGCATGTAGAACGAGTTTGAGCGCAGAGTATCTTGAGACGCTTATATGCTACCACGATTGGTTGAAGGCCATACGTAGAACTCAAGAAATTAGCATCACCCCCTCCCAAGACTTTATGGATGAAACAACAACCGATGGTGGCTCATATGCCGGAGATTCCGATTGATTACTATTTTACAATTTATTATAAAATATATTTCATGTTTTAATTTTTCCCTCAATTCTCTATTGTAATTTGTAAACTTGTAGTTCATATTTCAAATAAATATACATTCATTTTTTTTATATGTAGCACCTCTCAAATTAATTAATTGGTTACAAACTTACAACTTAGAATTAATTATATTAGTATTTATTAGAAAATGTATTTCATATTTAAGTTGTATAAATAAGTTAAAAAAAATTAAATAGGCCCGACCCGACCCGGGCGGGTGACCCGGCCTGAACCGGCACCGGCCAAAGGACAGGCCGGTCCCGGGCCCCCCATTCTAGAACCGGAGGACCGACCGGGCCTAGGCCCGGCTCGGGCCCGACCCGGCCCGAGTCCAGGCCTAGCTCTTAGTCTTTTAACTTTAAGGAATAATTGAAAATAATAATTCCAACTATTGTCGGTCCACTAATAATAATCCCACCTATTGATTATTTTTGTATAATCCCAACTATATGGACCATCTGCCAATAATGGTCCATGACCAGATATTACCTCCTTTAACAAGTGATTTTTAAATAGAAATTAAATGTAAAAATTAAAAGTTGGGATTATCTATAGGAATTACTTGCTATATCTCTTCTCATCCACTTTAGAAACTACATGAACTTATTTATAAGGACCATTATTGGCGGAAGGTCCCTAAAGTTGGGATCATTAAAAAATAATCGATAGTTGGGATTATTATTAATGGACCGCCAATAATTGGGATTATTACTATCAATTTTTTCTATTATTTATTTGTATACAAGCAATAGTTGGTCCATTATGCTAATAATAGCAATAGCAATAATAATGCTCCATATAAACTTAAATCAGCCTTGAAAAAAGCATATCAGAGTAGAAAGATTCAAGTCACATATTCAAACCATATTAGAAATATTACGCTTAGATAGAAAACAAGTTCCGAAATTTTCAAAACTTTAATTATTACCAGCGGACCGCAATAGTTGAGATTATTATTATCAATTTTTCCTAACTTCAATTAGTTATATAATATAATTAATAGGCTTGTTCACATCAAAATGGGTCTCGATTTTGACAAAAAATTCAATGATTTTTTTTAATATTGGATAAATTATTAGCTTAATATTAAATGGTCGTCAAGTATTTGATCTTTTATACTTCGGTACTTCATAATGAACATAAGTAGATCAATTTTATTAGGTCAGAGAACTAAAAAATGTAGAAACAATGACCCAAAGATGACTATTGGCTTTACGGTGGACAAGTGTAAGACTTGGTTTAAATTTAGACAAAAAAGGGAGTAAAGATATATGAAAGGACTGAAACGCCCATTGAATATATACAACACCATCCATCCGCATCTCGCTGCGTCAATCTTCTCCTCTCCCCTTCCGTCGATCTGCATCGTTGGACGCAACCATTGTCGACGCAACCACCATCGGCGCGACTACCACCGTCTCCCACCATCACCTCAACCAGAATCGTCTCCCACAATCGCCGCAACCACAATCTCTTCTTCTCCACTCCTCCATGGCGATTGAGGAGCCATTGGCTCCGTTTTTTGGCGACTGGACGATGAAATGGTTTGGATCGTCGTCATTTGTCGATTCAGTGTGGATACAGTCCGACGTCGGCGGTGGAATGGAGGCTAGGGTTACAGGCGGCGATGGTGGCCATTGGGGGGCTGAACCGTAGTGGTTGGAGCGTTGTTCGTCTATTCGACGGCAATAGAGATGTGGTTACGGTTATAGTCGGTGGTGGTTTGTTGGTGGTCGATTGGCTAACTTGGGGCTGGGGTTGGCTGGCGGCTCAAGTTACGAGCGATGCGAGGCGGCTAGGAGATGGGCCGGGGTGAGGGGAGGGCTGGGAAGGGGCGGTGGGGACGTGGGTTGCGGGGGCTGGTGGTGGTAGGGGGTTTTGGGAGCTGGGGAGGCTGGAGACAGGTTGGGGTGGCTGTCCGCCGGAGAGGTCAAGAGCGGAGTGGTAACTGACGTGGCGGTTGGTCACCGGCATTGGTGGGCGGTGGCGTTGATGGCCGGAGTTTGGCAGTGGCAGGGGGTGGCAGTGGCAGGGGGTTTCGGCCCTTTCGGGGCTGGGGTTTGGGTTAGAGACGAGCCATGGATGCTGTCTACCAGAGTAGGTGCGGCGGCAGGTCACCGATGGTGGTGGCCGGCAGTGGTGGCTTGCGCTGGTCACTGTTGGAACGTAATTGATCGGACCGTGTAATCGTAACTGATCGGATTGAATAACTATAACTGGTAAAATATGGCTAATCGGGTAACTGGTCGGGTCGGATATTTTTTATGGTTGGATCGAATAACTGTAATTGATTGAGTCAGATAACTGTAACTGGACGGGTTGGTAACTGTAACTGGACGAGTCGGGTAACTGTAACTGAACGGGTCGGGTAACTGTAACTGGATGGGTCGGGTAACTGTAACTGAAAGGGTCTAGTAATTGTAACTGTACGGGCAGACGTTGGTCACTGTACGGACGGACATTTATCACTTGGCGGAAATTTAGATTTTTTGTCACTAATGTTTTTTGGTCACTAATGATTTTTGGTCAGGTAACTATAAATAGTCGGTTAATAATTGTAACTGATTTGATTGGATTATTGTAACTGGCAGGGGAGGATCTATGTTAGGGCTATGGTGGGCTAAAGCCCAGTGTAAAGACAAAAAAGAAAATTTGTTTAAGGTATTATTTTTAAAAATTTCCATCTAGCCCACTCCAAATTTTTCTATAGCCTAGTCCAAATTTTCAGCCCAGCCCATAAAACAAAATCTTACCATTTAAAATTCAAAAAAATATACTCCATAACCTAAATGTTATACACATCATGGCAGGACCGACCCAGTGGAGAGGCAACTAGTGCAATGGCACAGGGTCTCAAGAAATAGAAGGCACAAAAACATTTGTAATAGTATTAATTAGGTAGCCCACTAGCCCAAATTCAATTCAATAAAAATAGGCTAATAGCCATGTGATGAAGCAGCCAAGTCTTCGCCATTTTACCCTTCGTCGTCGATATCGCGATTTCCGCAAGGCAACTATCTGCATCAACCAAATTTGACAAAGCCATTCAATCATTGTCGAGTCGCCGACCACTCCAAGACCCAAGCGTCAACATCCGTTCGTGACTCCGTGTAGGTCCTCCAGTCAAACAACAGTTGAGCACCATTATCACTTTCATGTTTTCAGCGATGCAATAGACTTTGTATTGATGGAGTTAAGGACCCAGATTAATGATAAATTAGTAGAATTTTTTTCTTTGAGTGCTTCATTGGATCCCATAAAATCATATGAGTCATTCAATGTCATGCTATTTGTACTCTTGCAAGGAAGTTATATCCTGAAGATTTTAGTAGTCAGGATATTCGTGCTTTGGAATTGGATCGATTGGAGCTACAACACTATGTTCATGATGTGATTCCTAGTACAAAGTTTCAAGTATCTACACTTGTTGAACCATGTGAAGAGTCGAGTAAGAGAAGAAGATCTAATTCATATGTTATGAGGAGCAGATTGATTCGTCTTGTCATGAACTTACCCGTGTTACTGTAACAGCAGAACAATCATTTTCTGTTACGAAACTTCTAAAGACAACACTCCGCAACAAAATGACGGATGACTTTCTTGCAGATTGCATGACACTTTATATTGAAAGAGACCTTACTCTTAGTATAGATGTAGACTCTATTCTAGATGAGTTTTTTTTTGTTTCAAAGCCTCATCGAGGACAAATTTAATGGATAACTCTTATATTTGATTTTCTGCTTATTTTGAAAATTTTCAATGTATTATCATTTATGTGTTTCAGCCCACCCCAACATGAAATCCTGGATCCGCCCCTGGTAACTGGTATGGTCGAGGTTATTGTAATTGATGGCGGGTGCATATAATTGGTCGGGCTGACGATTGTAACCGACGACGAGTAAATGTAACTGATTGGGCGAGTAATTATAACCGATCGGGAGAGTAAATGGAGCTGGTTAGACTGATAACTGTAACTGATCGGACGAATAAATGTAACTGGCAGCGAATAATTGTAATTAATCATATGGATAATTTAAGTAATTGAACGTATAAGTGTGTAACTGTAATTAATTGTAATTGTAAATCAACCGAATAAAGCATAAATTAATCAAAGTCATACAATATTAATCAAAGTCATACAATAAATTAATCTATGACTATTGCATTTTAAGAAAAATGGAATTTGCAGCAAAAGAAATCACCAGCAAATTTTAAGCATGGCTCCGTATTGAATAGAAAGCAGGGTACGATCAAAAAACGAAAGCAGGGCATTAATGACATTTTCAATCTCAAAATTTTAATAGAAACATACGGATGTCTCTTTTTTGGAAGAAACTAAATCAGGTCCTATATTTGTCCAAACTCATTTAATTAGTAGTATTCATGACCTATTTGTAGATTGATGCTCAAATTTTAAGAATAAAATAAAACCACAGACTTGGGGAAGTGAGAGTATTACTACTTCCTTGCTTTCACTCTTGGACAACATTTGATTGGTTCCAATTCATTTATACTTTATTTATGTCGTTTAATCAATTCAATTTTAATCGTGTAACATTTTTTTAAAATCAATCCACACCCTTTTGTCTAGTTATAAATGAGATTTTGATCCAGTTATTAAAAACGAAACTCCTAAGGGTGACAACTGACAACTCCGGTACCCAACTAAAAAATGGGATACCGTACCTACCATTCATTTGATTGGACCACACCACTTTATCATTTTTAATTTAGATTTAAATAATTCAATTGCTACATTCTCATTGGTCCATGTGGACAAAAGTATGGTACGTTATGGATAACATAGAATCTACCTACTCCTAAGTTAGGAGGATATGGATATACTGGTTTCTTAGTGTAAGATCCCGGTGAGACTGTGAGAGTAGAGCCATATCCGGATATGCCACATTTATCCTTGTGGAAGTCGGGCCATTTATACGGTACCGAATAATGATATGGGTAGCTCAATGGTGCATACGGGTTAGGTGATGTTTTGGTGCATCTTATACGTGGACAAACAAAATCGCGACATGTCATTTAATGAGGATGATGTGTTTTCCAC